AATTATTATTCTTTTAAAAAGTTAGTTTAATAAATGTACGTTTCCAAGTTTCAAAAATTGATAACGCTATGGAAAATAATACAAAATCTTAAATTTTGTTTTTGTATAATATCCTACAATAACCTAGATAAAATTATTTTCAGCAAGAAAAACTATAACATGGATCATTGTTATTCGAAATTGTTTATTGCTAACGATATGTTTGTGATACTCACATTTTTTACTACAGGATGAATACAAAAGAATAAGTCGGTTTCAAATATCTGTAAAAATAGTCGAATAGTTTCAAATGTCCATGGAGTATACTTTAGACACAGTACTTACTACCGATAAACGTTGACGAGTTATTTGGAGAATTTGGATGGCGTTCTAACTAGAATACAAAACATCCAATGGTGCATATAATTGAAATTATGTTTTTTTTTTTACTTTATGGTTTTTTTTATAGTGTTGTTAACAACTATAATATTTAAAAAAGTACCCATACAATGATCTTTTTTAAAGATTGAAATAAAAATCATAAATCTGACTATTAACAGTTAAATCAGTAGTAAAAGGTAATGTATGACAATATTAAATACAAAAAGCAATTTTTTATTTTAGTTGTAAATAAATGAAACACATATGTTTGTATCTTGAGCTTTTAAGTTTTAACATATATAATTTTGTTTATCTACATACAAAATTGTTCAATTCAATCATCTGGACTTGATGCCGAGGTATGAGATGTATATAATGGCTGAGACCCTTTTTTTTGTGGCATAACATATGGTTGAGTAGCTTTGGTTTGAAGAATCGGTATTGTAGGTATATTTGTTCTGTGTTGTGGTGTTGAAGAACTGACTGGAACTTGTAAATTTGAGTTTTTAATTTGTAACTGTTGCCATTCTAGTTCGGATACTACAGAAAAAAGTTTAGATTTAGCTAAATGTTGATATTCCGGTGAAAACGTTTTAACAGTGGCGGCCAGACCATTAAAAAACAAATCAATTGGATGATCATTTCGAGTCACCTTTATTTCGCTTTTATCGCTTTCGACTAAATATTTCATTGGTACAGCGTCGCTGTTTCTGTTTTGTCTATTTTTCTGGTCTTAGAATACAAAGACTCGGGTTTTTTTGGAGATGTAGTCAATCTTTTTGGGCGCCTAGTTTTTTCCGAAACCCCTTTAGAAACATTTTTCAGCTGTTGTTCTTTTTGAGTGTTATCTATAATCTGATCAATAATGTCTCCACTTTCGTCAATAGACTCTTCACTTGAGCTTTCAGGTTCTGCTATGTTGCTGTGTGTTCCTCTTTCTTTGAAAAATGGAATAATAAATGACATGCAATCTTCGTACTTCCATTTTGTTTTTATATTGGCTGCTTGTCCACTTTTTGTGACTTTTTTTTTCAATGCCTTTCTTAATTGATCTCGAAGTGAAATCCATCTATTTTTGCATGCTGGTCCTACCAATGAAATTAAATAAAATGAATAACATAAACATTTTTTCAGATTTTTAGCTACTGGCGATCCATTAGAAAAGGTTATCATTTAACTTTCGTCTGAGGCATTTAACTGTACACTATATAGTCAAAGAGGTATGCCAAGCTATAGTAGACAATGTGTTATCAGAAGTGATGCCACAACCAAAAAAAGAAGATTGAGAGAAGATTTCGGACGATTTCTGGAAGATGCGGAACTTTCCGAATTGCTTGGGAGCATTAGACGTGAAGCATGTAGACATTTTTGCTCCTCCCAATAGTGGTTCCCAAAATTTTAATTATAAACGAACTTTTTCAATAAATTTGTTACCTTTGGTTGACGCTAATTGTAAATTTATAGTTTTCGATGTGGGTTCGCATGAGAAGAATAGTGATGGGGGAATATTTGCAAATTCGAATTTAGGAAAAGCTTTGGAAAAAAATAAGCTAAATGTGCCAAAAGACACAAATCTTCCCGGGACTCAGTACCCTTTGGAATTGTAGCAGATGAGACGTTTCCCTGTAAATCCTACCGATTAAGACCTTACCCCGGTTCTATAATTAATGGAGATCTAGAAAAACAAGTTTTCAATTACAGACTATCAAGAGCTAGGCGTGTATCAGAAAACGCATTCGGAAACTTGGTTCGAAAATTTCGGATATATTTTAGAAGTATAAAATCCCTACCTGAGAATGTGGACAATATTATATTAACCACTTGCATTTTGCATAATTATATAAAGGTTAATGTTCTAATGACTCAACATTTAGACCCAACAGAAGGAGAACCAAATTGGGGGCATTTACATAGGCAAGGCGAAAACGCCCATACTTCAGCGTTTAATGTGCGTGATATGTTTAAAACATTTTTTACCTCAGAAAATGGATCATTACCGTGGCAAAGGGATAAGTTTTTGTAAGTTATAGTGTTATATAAAAATAAAAATAAAATAAAGTTATTCATACCTGTTGTTTTTAATTGAATACCAATTTTCTTCCATATCACATCCTTGTGATTATTATCGCTATACTTTTTATTGGCCATATTATACAACTCTTCGTGTTGGCGAATTTGCTCAATTAACTTTTCATCATCCATATCAGATAATTAGAATAGTTAAAATAATGAATAACCTTTAATAATATATATTAACCAAGAATAACAAATGAATAATAATAATAATAATAACTAGAACGTGACGTTGCGTTCGCACATTCGCACTAGCCGAACGGACCAGAAGTGACCAGCAACAACACTTCAAAATATATAGTTTTTGAGAAACGTTGCCGTTCCGTGATGTTGACCTAACGCGACGTTGCCGGTAAATGTAAACGTTGCCATTCAATACATGGAAAGATATTTTGACGCGACGTTGACGTTCCGTACAGTGCGTATCGACCTTTATTTTGTTGGAAAAAAAAAAGTTGGAATATATGAATATTTTTTTTAGCAACTCAAACTTGTTTCAACGTTAAACGACACTGTTTATTACTTCGAATCACATAAGTTTTTTCACAACATACATACGTTTTTTATTTGCTTACAAATACTATAGTGTTTTGCGTCATACTTTAATTGATCCGTTTGTCAGAGGGATAATTTCCTAAAACAGCTAGTATTATGTTCATTTTCATTTGCTTTGCAACGCTTTAAGTTCTTTTTGTCGTACAACTTGACGGTGTTTTTTAGAGCTACAATCTTTCATTATTACAATATTATGCAAAAATTGGTTATTTTTTTCGTAACTGTTGGTGTGAAGTATTATCGGTAGTTTGTATTTTTTTTTTTTACAATAATATTGTATTACATTCTCGGGTTGATTGTCCGAAATGAACAATAAACTTTAGTTTTGATTTTAAAATCCCTAATTAAAAACATACTGTATTGAACAAAGTGGATTGCTTGAATGCATTTTAAATATTTTCCTCCACACAAATGTTTGTGAGTATGAATTAATAATGGTACTTATTTTTGTTCTTTATATTTATGCTATCTAGCAGCTATGCCGTATTTACAAGGTAATAGTAACCATAAACCAATAAAGGCATGTTATTTTACCTTACACACTTATGTATGCAATATTATGAATTCATATTGATCACTATTTTTGTTTATATTTTAGTCCCATGTACTATGCCTTTTTTACTAGGTAAGTAACAATTAACCATTATCTGCACGTTGTACAATTAAATTCAACATTAATATAAAGTATTTATTATGTACATACGAGTATAAGTACATAATAACACGAATGAAATGTCTAGAGGTTAATCGGTATATTATATTAAATAGACAATTAAATTGATATTTATTCAAGTGTCCGGTACTGCTATTACAACAACAAGAGCACAGAATGATGTACGGTTAAATCAAAATATGTCTTGAGACAAGTCTTTTAAGAATTTAAAAAATGAGAACTAGTGAGTTCGTTTTATACAAACATGATCTTATATTGATTGAATGAGAATTATCTGTCGAAGGTTAAAATTAAAATTGTAATGCGTACAATGATATAAGGTCAAAGATGTATTATTAATCAAATGAAAACAATTATAATATAACTATTATAAGTGTGTGAGTGGGATGAACACATACATATTTTATGTATGAAAATAAATGTATATAAATTTAAAGCACACAAAGTAGCTTCAGGACTACTAACTTTAACTGCTATAGGTAACCTGTATCGGTCTCCCAGTCCACTTATCAATGTAAATCTTATGAGGCTTCTTATCACTGTGAACACTGGCCAGTCCCAGTTACGCCGTACGCGTTACAAAAATCGATTGTTTTTCAATATTACCCATTTCTATAAATGTATTACTTACTTTCTCACAGCCATATTATGTAGTATAATAGATAAATTTATTGATATTTTTTTTACATGGGTAACTAGAAATGTATCCTACTAAATGAAAATAATTAAATAAATAAATTAAAAATAGTTTTGAACATATTTTACAGTCTTACAAATCAATGTATCGCCTACATAGTGATACTTATAGATTTTTTTTCACGACCTACCTACCTATATTATAGTTTTTATCCATTTTTTTAACGTAGTTTTACATGCAACATGTCCGACCCCACTGCACGTTTTTTTTCTTTTGTATCCTATATAGGACATAACCGAGTGAATAATATAAAAGTTTTCACGCATTGGTATATTTTGTCTATATATTTAACTATTATTGATCACGTTTCTCATAGACCGACCTTTGAGTTTCGTTGTATAATAATTAAATATGTAGGTAGGTAGCTAGCTAGCTATACTCACAGATACCTTCATAACTTTCTGGTAGACAACCGTCAATTCCTACCCCTTGTCGTATTGTTTCGTTCGGTCGTAGACTAGTAAAAAAAAAAATAGTAATCTTGTTTTAACATCAAGTACAAGCAGCCGTTTGTTGTATACCTACTAGGTAATTATTATAATTTAATCATACGCTCGATTAACGTTGCCTATGTGCTACTACATATAAATATTGTTGGTTTGTTTTATTTTATTCCGATTTTCCGCGCCGACACAATTTCCTACACGAAAACTACCATGTTTACCGGTCACCACAGCTGATGTTCTGATCAAACAAAATTGCCATGTCATGTTGTCGACAAGATGTACCCGAACACTTGCGTTTCAACCCTTACATAGAATACGGATACAGACCGCCGATGCGACCCGTCCAGTGTTTGGCCAGCGTCTTCGCGGTGCACAACGAAACAGTCAACATATACACGCACGGTTAATATTATAATAACAGCAGCCGCTCTTGGGGGGGGGGGGGAGTTAAAAAATGAAACATAATAGGTATTTTTTATTTTTTTGTTCTAGTTGTCGCACTTTGCCTGTCTCTGTACCTGGTAATATGCGAGTCGCCTTTATGGTGGTACACGGACGGCATCGAGTTCATCAAATGGTGTCACATAATTGCCACTATCATTCCGTGGATCGGCAGTATCGTTTACCATACATTCATGAACGTCAACGGCGACAGGGACACTTACAACAGGCTCTTGAAAGCCGATCTACTCGGTATATGGCTAGCCCAATACTTGGGTAAAGTAAGAAAATATATAACCTAACCTGACCCGTCTCACTAGTCCCGATGAAATTAACGAAATTTACATGGTTTACAATGTCAACATTTTCGAACTTTTTTTTTTTTTTATTAATGAACACAATAGATCCGGTGGTGGAAATAGAGGAGGGGGGGGGGTGTAAGCTCTGCCCCTAAAAATATTTGAAAATATTATGATACTTTTTATTTACAGCTAAATTTGACTTTTTTTTTTTGCACCAACAACTAAAATACATCCATTTTTTCCTCCAAATCCAAAATTGGTCCGGTATAATCAATTTTATTTAAATATCCCGTGGGTATAAGCCTCTCCTAAGACTTTTCCCTATTTGTGCCACCAACTGTCTAGAGCTATAGAAGAAAATATTCTTCTATGCCTATTTTTTCACACTTAAAAACGTTTTTTTTCTTCAGCTTTTCCACATATATTATAAAGAAACCAAAAAAAAAAAAATTGTTCATTCAAAAATGGATTGTGTATGTAATTAATACAGTACAATCTGTATACTTTAAACTCGTAATTAAATACAGGACGAATATTTCTACGGAAACAACTTCCCAAAATGTACTTTTTTTAAGCTTTGTAAACCAGCCTTCTTCCCATCCAAAACAAATCATGTAAATACAACTGTTTTTATAGGTAATTATTTATGAAGCGTTATAATAAAATATACTTTCTTAAAATTAACCGCAGGAGGAATGCCTATGATGTCCGCGTCCCTCTATAATCTTTCCGATACCAATCAGCTAGCGGTGAAAACCATTTACTGGACGGCGTGCTTTTGCGGATTGCTGAAAGTAATTACAGTGTGTAGGTATGCTAAATATTATAGTGACTAAAACAGGTATTTTAGGTAATACACGAACAAAATTTCATCAAGGTGAGCAGGGTTTATTTTTTTCTACCCATTACAATTCGAATATTGTTGGTAGCCTTGCGTACGACCCGGTATGGCGGAGGGGATCCTGCAGCAATAGTCTATGTTGTTCTTGCGGTAATTAGCACACAATAAACATTTTTAAATATATAAAGGGCTAAATTTCAAATAGGATTCATCGTCGATTATCGGAGGGATAATTAATGCGGCACGGTGGCCAGAACGAAGATTTCCGGGAACCTGTGATTTCTTTTGCAATTCGCACAACATTATGCATTTACTAGTCCTGTTAGCCATGTATTGGATGCATCAAGTCAATGTAAAAGATATTGTATGGTTAACGGCACAGATGAATTTTAAAAATATACAATAAAATTTAAAGACATAGGTAAGTACGCAAGGCACAAACGGAATATTATATTTATACATTGAAAATTTAAAACAAAAAAAAAATAAAATTAATTTAACAATAATAAATACATTTTAATTACACCTATTTACAAGACATTGTCAGATTCAGTCGTATAACTTTTCACCCGTGAATATAAAAACGGAGGAAAACGATTACTAGATAAATCGTATTTGGTAGTCATTAATTTGTTGATTCGGTTGCGGTGCACAATTTCATACTCTTTCCATGTTAGTTTGTGGTTATGCTTGGATTTGTGTTTTAAAATTTCCAAGGTCTGAAAATGATAATAATAATGGTTATTCAAAACTAGTTATGGTTTATATTACATTTTAAACTAGAGCCAACCGCCCATTTTTTCTACCATATAGTATGTAGTTTTCCTTTGAACATTTTCTAATCGATGTCTTTGTTTATTATTTTGCTCTGCTTTTGTCACTTTACTGTCGAGTTTCAATAATAATTGATTGTCGGACAGTTGATAGTAACCGAGGCAGACGTCGTGTGGTGCCAGTGCTTTTGACTTCAATCTCTGTACAATTTTACCAGGCTCACTACTGGATAACATCATGATAACACGGCCATCGGAGAAAAACCTATTGTGACACACAAATGAATTCAATACTACACTATACAAGTTAGAAATCTAAATGTTATACGACGTCACCTGAGATATCTATAATAAACAACGTTTAAGGATGGGCCATAACTCAAGTCTTGAAACGACTCTTCTCCTTGTCGCATATAGGATATTTTACATATATAACATCCTATCGTCAGTACGTGAGGACGCTCAATAAACATCTTTCGCCAACTGCCATCGACTGCAGCTAAATCGTCAATATTCAATTTATTCCAAATTCTTAATAAAGAAAAAAAAAATACTATATAAAACTATGTTGTGGTTATTGTGTACATACATTTGTATAGGTTAACCTATACATTTATTTATAATCGTCAGTGACACCGTAGTACATTAAAATGTATTACCAGAACAGTTTTAAGAATAGTGTTGATTAACGAAAAATATATAACTAAACAAATATGTAATAAAAATAAAAAATTAATTTAAACTATAGTATGTAAAACATAAATATAAAACTTTTAGTTTTTAAATTAAAACGTTTAAATTTAAAAATGTATTTTGCTTGGAGCAATTGTATTTAGATAGCTGCCAATATTTTTATGATAATTGAGTAGCTAATTTTAAGATTTAATAAAAATGACATCATAATTTGCTTGGTGCCACTGAGTCTTGTAGACTATAAGAACTAAATCCATACTTTGAACATGCACGACGCCACAGTTCTGGGTCTCTAGCACATAAATACCATCCACGGCAAACAGTCGCACACATCTCTAATGATCGCAAGTCTAAGTCGGACGATACGACCCATCTAAATACATACAGTACAAGTTCTGTCGGAAGAGCTGAAAAGTGAGTGGCCTGTGAAACAAATTACATCAACAGTGGTGTAACAGATTACATAATTGTACCCGCTTATAATTTGTTTATAGTATATACTCACTTGTTGCGAGTGTTCGGGAAAACATATTTGCGGTTCGATAACTCTTTGAAGTCTTACATACAGATCTTCTTGGCTGTCATAATCTTCCTCGCTGTCACTTTCGTCCGCTTTATTATAAATTTAACTGATAAATATTGGGCACACATTGAATAAACACAAGTAAAAATTTCATACAGCTTTCAGTCTGGCGCAAGGCAGCTACGTCCTCGTCTGTTATTTTGTCTTCGATATCTGGGTCCATTTTGAAAGCGCGCCTGTAGCATTTTGTTGCGTCGTAGTGATTACCATCGCGTTCGTACTCGATTCCTTTTAAGAACAACGACTTTGCGTCTTCATCCTGAAAACGTGTACATCCCTTAGTGGCAAAACAAAATAAGGGTTTTTTTTTAGAGAAAATGAAAACAATTAAATCGTTACTTACCCCGTTACTGTTCATTTTGGTTGACGGTTAGTATTTGCCAGACAACTTGTGCGCTAAGTACAAAAGCGAATAGCAAAGACACAAGTTCAACAACAGCAATACACGTATCAATAGGGCTACGTGGTGATCTTGGTGCATTAAATATAAGAGTAGCATTTCAGTACAAAAGTGTACTCACGAAAAAATTAATATTATATTATGTTAGGGTTTTTGTTGTATAATGGCCAAAAATCTTATCTTAATTGATATTAAGATATGTCGATACCATTATTATGATTTCACTTTTTAACAACACATTTTTTTTCACCTAAGGGCACTGATAAGAAGGTCACTCGAGCTACCGCAACAGCTGTTTCTGATAGTAGCCGTCGAATTTTAATAATTGTAAAAAACTTCTTGCGTAGATTAAAATATATACATAATATATGATGTATACTTAATCTATGCTTCTTGCTTAAGGTATACAGCTGTTGGTTAGAATACTTATGGGTTAGATAACTACGTGTTCCACAATTTCAGGCGTCCAATATCTAAAGAAGGACAATTTAAAAACCACCGCTAAAAATCTACATTAATACTCTTATAACAATAATATCACTGTTTTTCCTCATATAGACACAGAAATCGATTTAACAAATAAAAATAACAGAAATAAAATTAGTTTACTATGCGAAATCATACAAAATATTTCTAAATATATTATCAAGTATCAAGTAGGGATAATTTGGCTTTTGGGAACTGCTCTAAAGGACAATAAATTGAACGTTATACTTAAAAAAAAAATTTACATGAATCCACTCTAACACAATCTATTGTCATTAAATATATAATACTATCATAGTAAGTATTTTGTTAAGTAATCTATTAGACTTTTAACAAAACATAAAGTATAATACTTTGTTTTAAATAAAAAAGGTGGGGTAATTAGTATTTAAATTATAATTAATTAACTATACATTTAATTTTAGTTCAATGTTTCACTTAACTAGCTTTTTAATAAGTAATAATAAAAATTAACAAAACTATTAAAAGAACTTAACGCACCTAAGTAGGTACACGACATTATATATATAAAATAATAAGAATATTGAGTTCCCATTATGACGGTTCAACTGTTCATCGTATTTCTTTTTGTATATTGCTAGGTTACACATTATAAGCCGAGACAAGTACATTTCCTAACATTTTTCTTTCAATTATAGTAAGTTCTCTATTGTCTTCTTTTGTCGTGTACCAGGCCTTGCACGCAAAATCACTATTGGTATATGATAGCTTAATATGCAATATACAGACCTTATAAACTTGTTAAACTACCATATAGTATTAACCATAGTACCATATTATGATATTATTATGCGCCTGAGAAGGCTAATTTAACAGCTATATTATGTTTACCCGAGATTAAGATTAGGTATACGTGTAAGCGCTGTTATTGGAAATTCTTAGTGGAAATTTCATCCCGACAGTGTTATTAATTATTTTATTAAGTATGCAACTCAATGAGGCATCTCGGCATAGTGTTCAAAACTACTGTCCCGTCTGTTTTTGGAACGTCTGCAATAGTTTGCAAAGTTTAGTTTATCTTGTGTAGTACTTTAAAATGTTCGAATATTTTTACCCAGGTTCCACCATGGATGGATGTTTTTTGATTATGTGTTTGAGATGATGTAGATAGTTTTGATAGAGACGTTTTGTTTGTCAGAGAATACCGAGGAGTTTTTGTTTTACTTTAGTTGAGTGAATCACCCGAGTCAGTTTTGTTCATACTTGTTGGTTTTTATCTGTTTTTAGTGTATTGAAATTCCATACAATACACAACGTAGCTAAATAATATATTTCGTTGTTATCATTTGGGTATTGTCTGAGATGTAGTCGGTTGAAACTTATATTTTGCGGTAGATAAATAAAATACAACACAATATGTCATATACACATGGTGTCGATCGAGAGTGGTACGAATTCATGTATTTTCCACTCTTATACTAGATTTAGTATAATACTTATGTATTATAGCAACGCCCTCAGTTCAAAAAACTACAACTACTCGAAATTAGGAACAAGTTTGATAAGAAAAATTAAGAAAAACTTTTCCATTCATAACGTTATTTATTGATCGTCGATTGTCCCTTTAGATAATATGTCCTACATAATAAATAATGGTTTTGTTATTATTTTTGTTTAGTTGACACAGTTTTTTAATAAAATATTAGATTCTAGTTCTAAATAAGTGTTTTGATGTGTAGATATGTTTAGTTTTGATTATGTAGCTGTTAGACCAGACCGTGTATAGAAATATGCTTTGAAAATGAAGGTAAAATTAATTTATCTCTGTCAAATCATCTCTCGCTGTAAACACAATATCTTACATAATTTATAACATCCATCTCATGCTTGTTTACCAAATGCCAGTAAAACCTAAAATTGCTTTTTAAAGCTCGCTTTTTTTGGTTTGGTTAGTAGGTAATAAAAAATGTGTTGGTAGTAAAGATTTTTTGTTATTTTTTTTATAAACATAATTATAGTTTTACTACCTTTATAAACCAATGATTGAGAAAATGAAAATTTGCGAAACAAATTATGATTCGGCACAGTTAATTTTGTTCAGAAATTTGTGATTTTTAGAACCAAGACTAATATAAACGTTATATTGTTTTTGCAACTCATATAATAACTCCAAAATTAATAATTTTTTTTTTCAATTTCACTGGTTAAAGTTGAGCATTATTGATCACTTGTAGCAAGTACATCATTGTGTATTTAATTTTGAAATTATATAGGTACATTTTTTCAAACCAAATTTTATTAGTGAAACAATTAAGACTTTAAAGTTTAAAAGTTCACAACTTTACCAATCGTGAACAGTCGGTATCACAGAGTTTTTTTTACTGTAGTCTATAATATTAAAACTATAATGTTAAAAATGATTGGCTCATAAATTACTTTTTTTAATTAATAAATTAAGCACTCAATGCATTAGGTTAATTAGAACTGAAAAATAGTAAATATAACTCAGAATTCAGATAAAGAAAACTTACAATAAACCAGTTAAGTTAAAATAGTATACAGGAAATAAAACTAACGTCTGTAATTGTGACAAAGCGTAAAAACTCAATATTACTTTTAAAGTTCATTTGTAGGCCACTAGATGGCATTGTTAATAGCTTCTTATGTATTTAAAAACATTATGACAGACTTTAAATGGGTAAAAAAAATAAAGAAAATGTCCTTATCTCTATATATATATATATATATAGACTATAAAAACAAAATTTTTCATACGATTAAAATATTATCAAATCTACTGAATACTGCTAAAACAAAAAATATTGGTATTTTAACATTGTCATTACAACAATTATGTAAAACAATTTTATTGATTTTTTATCTACATACTTACGGCGATTTATTAGGAATTACATTTTATTACTTTCAATTAAAACTAAACTTTAAATTAAATTAAAACTAAAATGTCCATTAATAAATTGTTTTGCTAATTTGCTTATGTTTTAATTTTTGACACGGACTCATTTTATAATAACACAATCAAAACTTAATTAATCTATACTTCATATAACATTCAATATTAAGTACCTAAGTTACTCCATTGCAATTTATGAGTCAATCAAAAGTAGTATAGAACAAAATATAATTTTAAACTTTAAGCTTTCTAATCGCGAGGTCTAGTTATTTGTTCGCTACAATTTAATCAACCACAAAACGTACTAAATTTGTGTACATTATTTTTGTACTGTTATTAGAAACGAACGTTGAGCAAATACTGATCCAAACCAAATAACTAAATACTCTTAGTTATTAAAATCATTGTATAAATACAAAACCAAAGTAACTACAAGTACATTTTTATCACCAAATGATTGGCTAACTACGTTCAGTCTTTTGTTTTCATAAACTGCTGACATATTAAAGTAACATAAATCTTCAAATTAGTTTCTCTCTTCATCTTATAATACTACTATCAATTTTTATTTTAGTCGAAACTGGATATCGACCAGACATTATTTATTTTTATTAGAGCATTTTTCTATTCACAAAATAAATAAACCTGTAGGAAGCCCCGTGAAAATTAAAAGTTTATAGTTATATAATATTATAACCAACGAAAAAAGAGGAAGTTCTAACGCAAATGATTGCAAAATATAGATCACTTTGTGATAAAAACGGAAAAAAATAATTATGGAGTTACAAGAGAAAAGGTCTGGAACAACCTGTCCTAACGTCTGTTTGTCTTTTTAAATATTTTAAGTGGAAAAAACGTGGCAATTGAGGTTTTAATTTGACTGAGTATTTTGGAACAATGTCAGACATTTAGTAGCAAACGAATTTAGCCATTTTTCTATCTGGAGCCCGCGGAAGTAAGCTTTCGGCTATACTGCTTTCGGACGACCGTTGTAACGAGTAAACCAGTGTCTAACGTGCCGGATGTCTTATGAGTTATGGTGTATTATTATTGTCCAACAACAACGGTAAATGAAAAACCGTCCAAAAACCAAGGCGCTTAATTGCCGTCACTAGGCTTTTGTCACGTCTCGGCGCCAACGGTTTTTCAAACGGATTATGTACCGTCGTCGGTTGAACGTTTCGCGCGGCTTCCAACATTAATAATTTCTTTGGACGAGTCCGACAAGATAATACGGCGCGGGACATCGGCGGTCTTATGGCCGCGTAGAAAACTGTGTGTGCCAAAGGGTTGTGCAATGAGGGAGGGGGTGCAAAGGGTAGGCAGATGAGTACAGAGCGCGGCCGTTGCCAGGGTGAAAGAAAAACCTCCGGATTACGATCCGGTGTGCGGTGACGACGGTCTTTATAGTATAATATAATAATAATACTAACGTTGTATTATTATTATTATTATAAACTACTCGGCCGAGTGTATAAATCATTCCGGAATTAACGGAAACAAACAAAAATACAGTCCCCACAAGTATTATGCGAGCGGCAACACCCCGGGCACATCCAAAGGGATGCTCGACGGATGATCGTGGCAAACATCCGGAGTTCGCTCGGTCCGCGATCCGCCGGTGACCATTTATTTAGGCGGAAACCGCCGCCGCCACTGGACCATTGTCATTGCATTAACCGCGGAAACAGCAACGCGCTGTGAGCAAGCCCTACAATTATTATTAGGTATTATTGTACGCGAGTCTTGAGAATTTTGCATTGTTGTATGTCGCGCGGTTTTTTATTTTCTACTTAAACGATATAAGCTAGAAGACGTGTGTTGTGACGACGACGGAACGGCGCAGAAAACCAATAATGTCGTGTCCCAAA